TTTGGAGTTCTGCCACCATGTATTCATGTATAATCTGGTACATGACAAACTGTTTTAACAAGTTACTTTTGAAATTGGTTGTTAAAATGCTACTGGTATTCAAATCAGAAACTTACCACATCCTTAGGAGGAGGTTCTTCTTTCTTCTTTATCTTTTTACCCATTCTAGAAAAAGATACAATAAATGGTTACAGTGTCATTTGTATGTCACAAATGTACAAACTTCTCAGCTGCCTATGTTTTTAAAAAAGAGGTTTTAATTTTCTTCTTTAAATTTTTACCTTTCAAAAAGAAAATGTGCAAAGAACTAGAGTTCAAAAATCAAAAGGGCTGTACTCACTCGGCATTTCTTAAGCTGAAGAACAAATTCTAGTCATGAGTTCCAATACTTAAGGGTGTTATGAGCACAATATTTAAGGATCCAGAAAGTATTACAAGAAGAGGAAGGAGTATCCAGAGTCATTGTTCCAAAAAAAAAAAAAAATTGGGCTGACACAGAAGAATTTCCAGAAACAGCATATGACCAAGAAGCAATGGTGATAAAAGAGGACGTTCAGGCTTCTCTGAAGGACTTGGCAAAATATAAAGCCCCAGGAGTTGATGGAATAACAATTTACTTATTTCAGCAAACAAATATTGTCCTAGATGTGCTCACCATGTTGTGCCAAGAAATCTGGAAGACAACTACCTGGCCAACTGACTGGAAGAAATTAATATTATTCCCATTCCAAAAAAGGTGACCTGACAGAGTGTCGAAATTATTGCACAATATCACTCATTTCACAAGCAAGCAAAATCCTGATGAAATTAGCTAGAAATAAATGGAACAGCACATTGACAGAGGCTACTATATATACAGGCTTTAAGGTTCAGAATAGTTTAGAAGAGGGTTTAGAAGAAGCTGTGGCTCTAGAGACATTGTTGTCAAGGTCAGATGGATCTTGGCAGAAAGCAAAGAGTACCACAGGAATATCTATCTGTGTTTTGTTGACTATGCAAAGGTATTTGACTGTGTAGATTATAACAAATTGTGGCTAACTTTGAGAAGAATGGGAATCCCAGAACATTAGATTGTACTTATGCAAAACATATACTTGGACCAAGAAGCTGGAAGTCCTCAGTACAGAACACGGAAACATGGCATCGTTCAAAATCAGGAAGGGAGTAGGTCAGGGATGCATCTTGTCTCCGTACCTTTTCACTATATGCAGAACCGATCTTTTGAGAAGCTGGACTTTATGAGGAGGAGTGTGGCATCAAGATTGGACGAAGACTCATCAACAACCTACATTGTGCAGAAGACACAATCTTGCTTGCTGAAAGTGAGGAGAACCTGAAGTGCTTGCTGCAGAAGGTCAAGAACTTTAGTCTTCAATATGGATTGAAGCTCTACATCAAGAAGACAGAGATTCTCACAACTGGGCCAACTGGCAGCAGCACCATGATGGATGAAGACGAGATGGAGGCTGTTAACAGTTACAGCTTGCTTGGCCCCTCAATCAATGCTTTTAGCACCAGCAGTCAGGAAATCAGAAGGCAAATTGCATTAGGCAAATCTGTTGTCAGGGACCTTTCCAGAATGAAGCAATGATGTCAATCTAATGATGAAGGTCCAGTCAATGGTCTTTTCAGTTAATTACTGTGCATCAGAGAGCTGGACAATGACTAGGGATGACAGAAGAAGAATTGATGCCTTTGAGTTATTCGGGAGAAGAGCCTTGAGCATACCATGGATCACCAAGAAAACAAGTAAGTCTGTGTTGGAAAGAGTGAAACTAAGTTTTTCCTTAGAAGCTAGGATTTTGAAGCTCCATCTTTGGGCACATGGCCAGACAGGACTGATTCTTGGAGAAAGACATCATTCTTGGAAGGACAGAGGGAATAGCGCAGCAGAGGAAGACCCTCAATAAGATGGATTGATACAGTAATGAGGGCAATGGCTTAGGTGTATCACAGTCAGTGAGAGTAACAGGGCAGGGTTCAGAGCTTTTGTTCATAGAGTCACTATGAGTCACAGGTGACTTGATGACACATAGCAATGACAACAAAAGAAAAGTACAGGTAGAAATTATTATATATGCACAAATATGCTATTTCTCTGTTTCAGAGTTTGTCTCTTTAAAGTAACTTATTCAAATGCATTATCACTGAGTTAGAAGTGACTCCTACTTAACAACAAAAATCTCTACAGACTATGTGACCAACATTAGAAAGATATAAGTAAATAGACCCTCAAAAACCCTTTGAATAACACTGGGATATTGTTTGGTATAGTGTCAAAAGACAAGCTCCACAGGTTGGAAGATACTCAAAATGCAAGGAATAGAGCTGCCTCCTCAGAGTACTGCCTACCTTAATCATTCAGGTGGAGTAAAACTTTCACTGAATAAAAGGAATTTATTTGGTGATGTGGCAAGACTTAAAATGAGCAGAAACAACTGCTAACATACATTAATTGGAATGTGAATTGTTCAGAGTATGAGCCTAGGCAATCTAGAAGTTGTCAAAAATTACAAAAAGAAAAAAAAAAATCCTAAGCATTAGTGAGCTGAGATGGACCATTTTGAATCAGACGACAATAAGATTTACTATGCCAGGAATAACAAATTGAAGATGCATGTTGCATTAATATAAAAAAAGAATATGTCAAGATCTAACCTGGAGTATAATTTTGTCTATGATAGGATAATATCTCTATACATATTGTTGCTGTTGTTCTTAGGTGCCGTCAATTTGAGTATGACCCACTGCAACCCTAGGAAAAATCAAATCTGAAAACTGTCCTCTCCTGTGCTATTCTCACACTTCCAGACACACTAGAGCCCAACATGGCAGTCACTGTGTTAATCCACCTGGTTGAGGGTCTTCCTCTTGTTTGCTGGCCCTTTGCCTTTCCAAGCAACAAATACCACTCCCAAGGAATAGTCCCTCCTACCAACATGCTCAAAGTATGTGAGGTGAAGCTTTATCATATTTGCCTTCAAAGAGCACTCTGACTGCACTTTCTCCAAGACATATTTGAACTTTTGGTAGTTCCTAGGATATTCAGTAAGTACCGTTCTCCAACACCACAGCTCAAAGACATCCATTCTTCTTCTGTTCATTATTCAGCTTTCAGATGCATAGCAAGTGAGCAGAAAGATGGTGGCCTCTATCAGACACACCTTAGTCCTTAAACTGACCTTATTCCTCAATAATTTGGAGAGGTCCCTAAGGGCAGACTTTCCTAGTGCAATAAATCTCCTGATTTCCTGACTGCTGGTAACAAGGGTGTTGATTGTGGATCCAAGTTAGATGAAGTTGTTGACAATTTAAATATTTTCTCCATCTATCATGATGTTGACAATCAATCCAGTGGTAAAAATTTTTGTTTTCTTGACATTGAAATGCAATACACACTGAAGACTGTATACTTTGATCTTCTGCAACAAATATTTCAAGTCTTCCTCACCTTGATCAAGTAAGGCTGTGACATCTGCATAGCACATGTTGTTGATGAGTCTCGCTCCTATCTTGATGCCACATTCTTCATAGAGTCCAGCTTCTTGA